ATCATGGATTGCGATTCGCCAATGTGGTTGATCACTGGCGTGCTCCTCTAGTTCTTTGGGTCTGAGCTTGCAATCCTGGAGATTTGCTTTCAGTGTCTTTGTACTGCTTCTTTGGACAGCCTTGGTTTTTCTTGTCATGCAGGAGCTCTTCGTACAGCAGGCATCTTGACAGGTGGTACTCCTCCATGCAGATGACATGTCCCACTCATCAGAGTTAGGCCCTAATGAGCATGGACTCAATGCTTGAGGAGTGAGCATGATCCAGGACTTCAAGGTTGGTAATGCAGTCCTCCAGCGAATTCCAAGTATCGAACAGAGAGCTCGCATGTGGAAGTTCTCCTGCTTCTTGATGCGTCTGCAGTACACTGTCCAAGACTCACAGCCTTATAGAAAGGAAGGCAAAACCACTGCATTTACACTCTTAGCTTTGTAGTCAGCTGAATGTTGCACTGACTGAGCACTGTTGTGAAGTATTCCTAATGCCCAAATTGCTTTGCTGATTCTGGCATCAATTTCTTTGTCCGAGGGGCCGTCACGAGAGATGGTACTTCCCAGATATTTGAAATGCTCAATATTAGCAAGTTGTGAATCATCAATGATGATGGTCAGTGCTGAGGTATTTGTGTTTGATGTGGGCTGATGAAGCACCTCAATCTTGCTGAGACTGATTGTCAGGCCAAAGAGCTTGGAGGTGTCAGAGAAGTGGTTCAGCATCATCTGCAGATCGGACTCAGTATGGGCCACTAGTGCATAGTCACTAGCAAAGAGGACTTCCTGTAGGAGATCTTGGAGGCTCTTTGCCTTGGCAGTGAGGCGATGAAAGTTGAAGAGGGAGCCGTCCAAACGGTAGTGAATGTAGATTCCCTGCTTACAGATCTTGGACAGTGTGGGACAACATGCAGGTGAAGAAGACGTTGAATAGGAATGGAGTTAAGAGACAGCCTTGCTTTACACTGTTGCTGATCTCAAAAGTGTATTTTACCACTGGAGAGGACCTGGCCAGTCATGCTGTCGTGGAAGAGTCTAATCATTGTCATGAACTCTGGTGGGCATCCGATGTGCTCAAGAACTGTCCAAAGTGTTTCCCTGTTGACCATGTCAAAAACCTTGTTCAGGTCAATGAAAGCAGAGTATAGAGGCATGTTTTGTTTGATGGGTGTGTGTGTGTGTGTGTGTGTGTGTAAGTAAAATGCAAATTTCAAACACTTCTGCACTATACAAGACGATATTCCTAAACAGAACTATTTTTGATATGAAAATCAAAACAATCCTCAAATAAAAGAACAGTAATGAAAAACTTTTTTTTTTTTAAAATCAATATGCAAATAAGTTAAACCTAAAGAATGATATTGCCTAGAAGTAGATAAGATATAACACAGATATTGAGCTTTTAGTAAGTTGATCTTGAGTAGTTTGTACCATGTTTATTAGGTCTTTGGGCAGACTGCATTCACAGGCAGCTCCATCAAAGAACAGAGTCGTAACTGAGGAAAATTATAGTGAGAGATGCCCAGCCCGAGGTTGTGTCCTCTCATTGCACCAGAGAGAAGGATCGGTGCTCACGCCGAGGCCAGTGCAACCAATGATTGTGGGAGCTTGGGCAATTTTTGTTCGTAGCCTGGGTGTATGTGCTTGTCTCCCCACATTAAACTCACCTTGTATCACAACCTGACCACATAAGTAAATACAAATTAATCTGGGGAACAGCTGCTTGAGGCCAGGTTCTCTCATTGCACCAGAGAGAGGTATTGGTGCTTGCACAGAGGTCAGCACAACTGAGGAGGTGAGTAAATACCAAATTACTACAAAGTAGAGCTGGGGCTTTTTAATCTCAGAATTTGTGGGAGAATTGAGCTCCAATTTCACATTTATTCATATAGATTACATAATATAGGTTTTACTTAATTAGCTATTATGTTTCTCTAACTCTTCAAATGTTGAATGTATAACTAATTGTATTTTCCCATCTTTACATTATATTAATTTTATCTTATAAATTGTCCCTTGTTTTGTCACCCTTGAAATAAAAATAATTGTACGGAAAATAAGGATCTACATACATCAAACCGTCTTTAAATTAAGTGACAGAAGAATTATCATTGAATTTTTTAAAAGGTAAGCGTAAACATTAATTCAATATTTAAATGCAGTGATCAATTTAAAGTTCTGTAGTTTATTGATGTCTATTGCATCTACTTGCTAGCTAGTGTGATGATGGCCAAACTAAGAGTCCTCCACAGGAGTTAGCTTAAATGCCACCCAATAGGGTGGCTTTTAAGCTAGTTTATAATAAAACTAGCACTATAATTTTGGATGCAAAAGTAAAGAGTTACTCCCCTTGAACCATGAAAGCAACAATAATGGCTAGTATAATATATTAATGTATATTTTTAACCTTGTATAATCTGGTAACCCTGAATCTGAGTTTGATGAAAATCATTCCCTGCTCCTAACTTTTTTTAGGGCTTTTGAATGAACTATGAATCATTGAAATTGGAGGAGTTGCTTGGGTGCACACATGCACAAACACTGTCCTTTTATTTATTTTTATACACACACATTATATATATATATAGTTTTAAGGTATACTATATCTAAGGGTAAAGTGCAATATCAGTGATAGAGCATATGTAAGTATAAAAGTGGACACTGAGGTCAACAAGTGGCGACAATGTTTCAGGAATACAATCTTCAGGCCTAAAGGATGTGTTCAAGCATGAAAGACTGCTGCTTGGTGCTGATCCCAGCGTCCACACACTTTTTTGTTTTTTTTTCATATAATAGCCATCTTCTTTAAAATAGTATATTTTCCAAACTGGTTTCACTCCAGGTATTTTCTAAAAGCTTACCCCTTTCAGCATTTAAAGGAAATGCAGGCTCTAACAGTTTATCACCTTGATTTCATCTCCATCTCAGTATTAATAAAATGATCATTTTACAACTCTAAAAAAGAAGTTATTTTTTGCCTTTTGACTTGTACAAACCAGACAAGATTGATTTCCAGTTTAATAAGCAGCTAAAGGTTATCAATAGGCATAAAAACAAAAGTAAAAATCTGAAATAGAAAGATTTTTAATTTTAAAGTAAATGTTGGACAATTTGCAAATGAAGAAATTTGAGGCAACAGATGAGGTTCTACCAAAGGATGCTGAGAATATAATAAATGGAATATGTGGTCAACAAAAGTTTTAAGGAAAATGGAAAAACAAAAAACAAAAAAAACACTAGTACTTACAATCAGAAAGAGATAATTGAAATTCTGGGATACATAATGAAGAATGTTTGGAGAACTTGAGACTCACAGGATATATAGAGAAGTAGAGAGAAATGGCAAATAACCTACCTAACAAGTTTTTAAACTGACAGAAAAAAATAAGTATTTTTTTTTTCTTCAATTGAATGTGAGATGAAAAACAGTATTTAAAGCAATGGTAGGCAAACTTTAATGAGTTCAGGCGCATCAAATAAATTAAGAAAAAAAACCAAGAAAGTTTCTGGTAAGGCGATATTGATGTCTATTTTATCAGTACTCACACATCCTATCACCCAACTGAAAGAAGGAAAGAGTAAGTGAAAGAAAGGAAGAACTAGTAAAAAGTATTTGAAAGAATATGTGCAATGTATCGCTTTTCATGGAAAACTTTAGTTGAATCCCTGGGACGCACTAATAGAAAAGTTACTCTAAGATTTTTATGAATCAGGGGATGCAGGACATACATCTATCAGCATCTCTGTAATACTAAGCCCTCCAAGACCCTGGCAGTCAATGCAAGCATACTCCAGAGGATCACTTCTTGGATCCACCTTCTTTCCAATTCACATAAATAAACTGCCTAAGAATATGCTCAGATCATTTGTAAACATCTATGCTGATGATACGACGATATATGGGTGCACCTCTAAAACTCTTGATAATCAGAGATTGGAAGCTGACCTCTTTTCCAACCTAGCACTAACTTCACAGTAGATGAAAAAAGTGGGCTCAAAAACCAAACAATACATTCCATCACTACTTTTTAGATCCTGAACTACCACCAATCACAATGAATGGATTTCTCTTCGAAGAGGCACCATGTCTTGAGAGAATATTGGGTCTTAAACTCACATCTGATCAAGTGGAACTCATACATATGATCTATTGATAAAGATGCAGGTAAAAGTGGTCATGTATTAGTCCGGTAAGTACCTTACTCCTCATGCTATCCTCTACCTTTTCAAGAGCCAGATCAGGCCAAAAATGGAGTACTGTTATATTTGTACAGGAGTTGACCAGTCCTCACTTTCCAGTCTTGATAAGTGTTCAAAAGTGTCTCCAAGTCCTTGTTGGTGAGGAATTATTTGCCATCCTCATACCTCTCTCTCAGGTGTGATGTGGCAAGCCTCTTGCTGCTTCCATAAAAAGTGCTCGGGCAAACTACATCCCTTGGTCCCACAGGTCTAACCTTCACAGCTAGGACCTGTCATGCCATTACATTGTAGAATGGCCACCCACATTCCCTCCATATTCCATCAGTGAGAAATAAGTTCCACTTGAACAGTTTCTTCCTGTGAACCAGTGCCCTGTGGAAAAAACTACCAAGAGGATGTTTCCTTTGATCACTACAATCTTAAATCTGGTCAAGTCTAGAGTTAATGGTTATCATAACCCACTACCTTGAGTGGCCCTTGAGCTATGTACAAAGTGGACCTTGGTGTAAAAAAAAAAAAAAAAAAAAAAAAAAATTCAAATATCTTCTTTCAAAGAGAGAACTAAAGCCTTCCTCATCAACTAATGAATACGCAGGAGATATTTTCATTATAAAAATCATTGAAAAACAAAAGCAATTAAGATTATTTTTCCTTTATACAATAAAAATGCTTTATTTTTTTTTTTTTTTGTTGCTACCAAAATGTCATGAAGTTTTAAAATTTACTATTAAAAACTAAACTTTGATTTCAATTTTTGGCTTAAGGCTGTCTACTTAAACAGTGAATAAAAAAACTGGTGAAATTTAACTCACATGTTCTCCAAATAATACCAAAGCACCAAATCGAGGGGCAAGATCAAACATCAACCCAGTGGCATTCCAAAATGCTTCAATAGGTCCTTCATTTCCAGTATAGAAGAAAATGGGGCCGTTGTTAATTTTATCCCACCATTTATCTATTAAAAAAAGTTTTAAAAATAAACAAATTTTTCCTAGCATCATAAACACTCACAAAAAAAAAAATTTTTTTTAGTCTGCATGAAGGTTACCTAAGACAATTTAATTTATCAAAAATTTTACAAGCCAAAATCAGAGGAAATAGGATAAATCTCAATTCTAAAATAGCCGTCATTGTTACTTGTTAATTTCAAACTAATCACAATGTTGCCCATCTGTTATACTCTGCTTTAAATTGGATCACTTTCTGATTCACTCTATATTAAAACAGCTGGCCAGATCAGAGTGCCACAAAAGCTCAATTAATAAGAATGCTGCTCTCTGCACAGGGGCTCTGAACATTACATTCTTTTTACAAAACAAAACCACTAAAAAAAAAAAAAAAAAAAAAAAAAAAAACCATGAATTATATATCCACCCAGACAGCTTAAAAGGACCCATTCATGACACGCATGTAGTCCGACAATCAGGGTTCACCAGCACAAGGTTTAATACCAGGGCATTTTTTTTTTTTTTTTGAGATATTGGTTTTAGTGATACAAGTCCTACTAATTAACCTATAGCAGAGGGAAGAAGTGGTGGATTCGTACCTTTCCCAAAAGTATGTGTGTGTAAGTGAAGACAAAATCCAACTGGAATTGGAATTCAGCTTTCTGATTTCCAATTCCGAGCCATTATACCACATGCACACCCAAGCTTACAGCACCATATATTCTCCAAGCAGTCACCCATCTAGGCACTGCTTGACTAAAGTGATCATACAAGAACTGGTGTTTCAATGTGATATGGCCATAAGACTTTATAATCACTCACTAGCGATATAATTTGCAACAAAAAGTATTTATTTTGTTTAAAATTGATTAATTAAATGTATTCTAATGTGTCCACAATAAATTATAATTTGTTCTACTAAATTCATAGTTTTCAGTTTTTCCTCAATCACTTCAGGCCTTTTAGAAGCCCAGTTGTTGTAACTTAAACATGTTATTGAAATAACTACTAAAGATTTTGTGCAAAAATTCAACTAGAGATAAAAATAAGATCATAAACACTAATAAAATATTTTTAAGAGAGGCTTATCTTGTATTTGCTTATGTGAATTAACATACTTTGAGAAAATATACATCAGGAAAGAGAGAATGAAATAAGAATTTGCTGATAAGATAAATATTTGTTAGCAAATTTCATACCATATCTATTAAATATATATCTATATAGAAACTGCAATAAAGATATTTACAAAGAGAAAAGCGAACAATTTCAATAATAAAAGATAAGAACAATTTTTAATAAAAACGAATTTAATACAGCAATAGCTAATGTAATAGGCTTAATTTGTGGTTGTTTATATTTTGTGTTTAAGAAAATATTGTACTAAACTTGATATCTGGTAAAATCTGTAATAAATGAAAAAGGTGTCATGTCATTAACTATGATGATTTAATAAAAAAAAAAAAAAAAAAAAAAAAAAAAAAAAAAAAAAAAAAAAAAAAAAAAAAAAAAAAAAAAAAAAAAAAAAAAAAAAAAAAAAAAAAAAAAAAAAAAAAAAAAAAAAAAAAAAAAAAAAAAAAAAAAAAAAAAAAAAAAAAAAAAAAAAAAAAAGAAAAAAAAAAAAAAAAAAAAAAAAAAAAAAAAAAAAAAAAAAAAAAAAAAAAAAAAAAGAAAAAAAAAAAAAAAAAAAAAAAAAGAAAAAAAAAAAAAAAGAAAAAAAAAAAAAAAAAAAGAAAAAAAAAAAAAAAAAAAAAAAAAAAAAAAAAAAAAAAAAAAAAGAAAAAAAAAGAAAAAAAAAAAAAAAAAAAAAAAAAAAAAAAAAAAAAAAAAAAAAAGAAAAAGAAAAAAAAGAAAAAAAAAAAAAAAAAAAAAAAAAAAAAAAAAAAAAAAAAAAAAAAAAAAAGAAAAAAAAAAAAAAAAAAAAAAAAAAAAAAAAAAAGAAAAAAAGAAAAAAGAAAAAGAAAGAGGAAAAGGACATAATTTGAATGTAGTCAGTCCAGTAATGATGGATGAACAGTTTTGGGCTTAACTTTTTATTTGTATTTTTTGTTAACACGCAAGTATTAATATAAGAGCTCAGAAACTTGTAAATTAAATGATTTGTTTTAAATTCAGACTCTTCAACTCAGCTTCTAAAACAAGGGAGATAACTTAAGTTGCGTGATTAAGCATTTTCAATTTTCATTAATTTTCCATTTTCTGACAACAACCAATATAGTTAGAAAACTTGAAATTCACCAAACTAGTTAGTATCTATAACCAAAACAGAAAGGGTCTCAAAGATACTGAATGCAAGTTCAAATCTTATCAAAAGCTACTTATTTGGGATTTAAGTCATACAATGTAAAACCGATGCAACCTTTGCAAAAAAAAAAAAAAAAAAAAAAAAAAAAAAAAAATTAGTGCAGACATGTGGCCGAGGATATAATCAATTATGGCCATGGAAAATAGTGTAGCAACTGCCTTTCTATAGGACAATTTAGTCATCGCAGTTGTTGCTTTGAATTATTTTTGGTTGACAAAGGCGTCCAAGTCAGTGTAATTCTGCCCAGACCAGGGTTTTCAACGGAGAAATCTTCATACACTTTACATGTCGCAAATGGTTTCCAAATCCAAAGCACATTACAAGCTAGCTGTGGACATATAGAACCACACACTTATAGACCAGATAACTAAACTTACTCATTTCGGGATAACCTCCACTCTCATGTCAACTAAATTATGTGTTGCTCTGCCAGAAAATAATCCACTCCAAAACGTACTGGATAAGTTTCCCTCACTCATCCAACCTTTTACGTACACTGAGACGGTAAAACATCACACCGTTCATAAAATTCATACACCTGGCCTGCCAGTTTTTTTTAAACCACGTAGACTCGCATCTCCACTTCACATGGTCCCCAAGGTGCAAGAGGGGGTATGAAGGCCCTAAATGCACAGATAATTCCCGACACATATCCTGTGCCCAACTTAGCCGATTTCGCAATTTCTCTTCAGGGAGCTAAGATTTTCACAAAAAGCTTTCTATCAGATCCCGGTGGCCGCAGAAGACATCCACAAAACTGCAATTACAACTCCTTTCAGTCTACATGAATTCCTTCGGATGCCTTTTGGCCTCCGAAATGCTACACAGTCGTTCCAACACCTAATTGACAAAGCACTTTGTAGTTTATTGCATTTGTTCGCTTACATTGACGACCTCCTAGTAGCAGGCATTAACATGGATGACCACGTGCGTCACATAAGTTTTTTAGTGTTTGGAACATTTCAGCTTAAAAAAAAACAACCTGAACAAATGTGTGTTTGCAGTTCTTAAACTGAATTTCCTCGGATATGAAATTGATGTTTCTGGCATCACACCTTGTCGTGGAGAAAGTTACAGCTATATGAGAGTTTCCTCAACCAACGACGCTCTGGCAACTTCGATGTCATCTCAGCTTAATAAATTACTATCACCAGTTCATTCCTAACTGTTCCCACATTCTGGCACCTCTTACCAACTTACTTCATGGCCAGGGAACAAGAAACACGAAGATAAATGTTGGACGAAGCTCTTGCTGTTTTTACCAATTTAAGAGATGCACTAGCAAATTTTACTAAACTAAATTATCTACGTGACTACAATACAGCACATCTTTTGCTCACCACTGATGTCTCATCAGAAGCAAGTGGAGCTGTTTTACACCAGCACACAGAAAAAGAAACCACACCTATTTCCCTTTTCTCAGTTAAACTCCCTCCAACTCAAAAAAAAGTACAGCACCTTTTCATGTGACTTGCAATTTACCTTTTGATTAAACATTTCTGGCATATATTAGGTAGAGATTTCACTGTATTCATGGATCATAAACCTCTAGTTTATGCCCTTCATGCCAAATCAGACAGGTATAATCCACGTGATTACAGGCAATGATAACACCGTCGCCGACATGTTATCAAGAGTGTTCTTAATGCCACTAAGGAACAGCTTGACCTTGATTTTCAAGCCGATGAGCAAGAAAGAGACAATTCCACTTCAGTCTATAACTGTAGAATCTGTCGCTAAGGCAATATTGAAAGACAGGATTTTGGTCTTTGGATGCCCAATTTCAAGCAACACTTTTCAAAGTATTTGTGAATTTTCTCGGAGCGAAGCACATTTCAATGACGGCACATCACCCCTGTGCTAATGGCCTTGTGGAATTTTACGCCGTCAATTAAAGGCTGTGTTAATTAGCTCCAACAGCGATAATAACCAAAATCCTGGATTGATAATTTACCTCTAGTCATGCTTTCACTTCATTCTCAATTAAAAGAGGAGTTGCAGTGTTCACCTGCAGATCTTGTTCTTGGCAAACTATTAGTATTGTCAGGGCAATTTCTGTCTGGAAATTCAGCCTTACAACCTTCCTCAACCTTTGTCCAATGTCTACCTTGGCATTTACACCCACTCATTTCCAAACCAAGGACATTTATGTTCCTCCCTCTTTAGATAAATGTCATTTCGTGTTTGTACGACAAGAAGCCACTGACACCCAGCTACTCAGGTCCATATAGAGTTCTTGCTCGACATGACAAGTTCTACACTATTCAGCTCACTGGTGGTCCATTGAACGCCTCAAGCCAGCATACATTGAGCAGAATATTAAACCAAGCCAATCATAGTCATCATCACCAATGAGTAGTACACAAACATCTGAAACACCTGAACACCAAGTTACCAAGAAAGGAAGGAGGGTCCATTGGCCTTCAAAATTCAAGCAATATGTGACATTAAAAAAAAAAAAAAAAAAAAAAAAATCTTCATCGCTTTTTTTCAGTCTGTTTTTTTTTTTTTGGCGGGGGAATAGTTGTGGCAATTGCTATGTTTTTCCACGCCCACATTTTATTCGTCTGTGATTGGCTAATAAATCAATACTGCCTTTCTATAGGACAATTTAGCCATTACAGTTGTTCCTTTGAATTTTTCGGTTTTGAACTTGCTTACTTGTTTCCTTAGTACAAATTTAGTGATTGGTTAAAAATTGACCAATCACACATTTTAGTGCAACATTAACTTTTCCCCGCAGTTTCGCTGGGAGCCGATCTGTAGCCTTAAAAGAGTCGACTTTTTCACAAGCCGCTAGTAGGGTCTAGCAAATTTTGTCTGTCAACATGACTTTACTAACAACATTTCAAATGCACACACAGACACAGAATTTTGTAATACATATATACATACCTCTGTGACTCAGCCAAATTCAATCAACCAGGACCGTTGATTTCACTAACACACACACTTTCTAATCAATTGTATTCTTGTTTTATCTATTCTAACAGCAGACTTGGTCTAACATTGATTCCTGAACATTTATCTCTCAAGAGAACTTTCTTTCGAACAATCAATTACAAATCAGAATACAGTAAAAGGGAAGCAACTTTTCCCTTAATCTATACATTGAATACAAATTAGCGTATATTTTGTTCTTGTATGTTATTTCAATATATACTAGTTGATTCACATTTGGAATTTTGTTGTTTTCTTGAATCATTAATACAAAAGATATATGCGCTAAAGAACAGTCATAACAGTAGAATCAAATTCTTTCCTGTTGCATTCACTTTCTTCATCCAAATGCTGTTTTGAAAGGCATAAATAAATCAATGTCCACTCCCCGACGACCACCAGGCATACTGGTCTCTTCACTTGGAGGTTTATTCTGAATTAAAAATTTGAGAAGGCAAAGGAAAAAATATCACTACAATATATTTTCCAAAAAGTCATAGCAATTTCCACAATCAAGAAACAATGTATGGAGCACTGGAGACCAATGGTTGTCTGCGTCCTGGTGAGACATGGCACTTAAAAAAAATATACAGGGTGCGACAGGAATTCCTCCAACATAATGGTAAGACATTAGCTTGATGAGGAGTCATTGCCATTAAGTGACTAAATGTCCTCTTACCATTACGTGGGGGGTATTTCTGCCGCACCAGGATAAAAAATTAACGATTAAAGAGTAAGGGAGATAACTCTGCATTTCGCCAGTTCAGTCTACATGCGGTTCAGTCATCAGAAATTTGTTTATTTTTGTATTTATTTTTGAAATTCTATTTTATTACAATTATAATCTGCACACAAATAAGTAGATCTGGTTTTACAATACTGGAAAAGGTCAGCTACCAATTGTTATTGTTTTTCTTGTGGTTAAAAAAAAAAAAAAAAAAAAAAAAAAAAAAGATCAAAGTGAGAATGTACGATTGTAACATCAAGAACTATGACAATTTTAAATATTTATTTTTTTTTTATCAATTATTACCAAGTACAAATAAATTTGAATACCCGAGTCTCTGAATTTAAATAGTGGTAACTTAAACTTTTGCAAACAATAAACAATGCAAATAAACGTTTGGTTTTTCTAAAAACCTGTCATGACAAAAAAAAAAAAAAAAAAAAAAAAAAAAAAAACAGTGAATCAAATTCAAACAACTTTTTTTTTTTTTAACTGACAAAAAAATTTAAACTCCAATTTTTTTCTTCTTCTTTATTTTGTAAGTATTTAGAACTTAAAGATAAAAGGTCCCAAAATGAACTTCATCCAGTGTAAGTTGCAAGTTAATAATCAAGGTTTACACAATTTACATTTCGACCAACATGCACATCTTCATTTTATGTTTTGGTTTGGCTGTTATATAAAAACAAAAATTGTAGGGAAAAAAAATATTGGAATTGTGCAAGTAAAAATATAAAATTACTTTTAATAATAATAATAAAAGATTAGAATATCATATTTAAATATTTGTATTTTGGGAGAACTGTCGTTCTACCTCTTCAAGATTTTCTTAGATGACAGAATAGGGACCGAATAGGGAAGTAAAAATAAAAGGAATTTAAAAAGGGTAAAGAGAGAAAAGAGGACATTTAAATCTTTTCCTTTCTTTTACAAGTAATGTCACAAACGAAAAAATACAAGACTATTGTTAAAAAAAAAAAAAAAAAATTCAGAATACAAAAGTTACAAAACAAGCTTCTTGCACGATAACAATTCTACTGGACTCATAAAAACAACTATATTATCAATATTAACTTCAATATATTTTTAACTATCACAAAAAGTTGAGAAGCAAAACCTTTTTTTGTACAAACTTCGCTGCATTTCTGGTTTTTCTTGTTAGTTCAGTTTTATTGAACAACTCGAGAAATGTTGTAGTTTCAGATTAAGTTCAAATTCAGAGTTAAATCTCAAATTTTATTTTTGTAACAAACTTTCACAACGATAGAAAAATATTCACATCAAAATTGTAGAATTTCTCTCTTCAATCTGCAGCTTCTTGCTTTTCTCCGTTGATCAGCTCCTTACCTTCTTAGCCCATTAAAAAAAAGACAAAAAAAAAAAAAAACTCTTCAGCTCAGATTTGTTTGGACCCTTCTGCTTCTTAGACAAACCAGACTTTCTATAGCAATTAATACAAACTCTGAATCAAAAATTCATCTCTTTTGGCCCGAAAGGGATCAATTTTTGATAGGAAGTTATGCTCCCAAAAGTTTTGGTTTAAAAACGCTGCATATCTCATCCAATTTGGTGGATATTGAGATCATCCGACTTGAACTTCATTTTTAACAAATGTTTTGAAAATCAAGTTTTATTTATTCATGTAATCAGTAGCTTTATTTTTACTTTTTTTTTTTTAAACAGTCTAGCTTCATTTTGGCATTTTTATTGTTTTCTTTCTTTTTACAGATTTGCGAGCCTCACATACATGAAATTTGTTCGAGCAATTTTTAAGACTATCTGGGTTTATGTTATAAAAAGACAAACATTGCTAAAACTACAAAAAAAGAAAAGGAGGTTGTGGAGAGGCGTGATCTTCCACGTCATATAAACGTATTCTGCAACTTTTGTGGTATTAAAATTAAAATTTAATGTAAAAATTTTTAAATGATTGATTGTTATGTGCTGTTCATTGACTTTGTTGGGAAAAAAAAGTGCATGTAATTGTGTAGTACTAATTAAGTTTTTAAGTTTTTATTTTTAAGGTTTTTTTTTGGACAGGGGTAGAATTACACTACACTAAGTGTTTTTGTCCTTTGAAATCACAAGTTAGGTTCGTTATCGTTTGTAAATAAAACATTATTTTCACTTGTTTTTTTTTTAATGTAAGCATTACATTTTTAGAAAATCCAGTAAGTCTTAAATTTACTAATTAGATTTCGAAACACGACTAAGATAAATATTGAATTTTATGATTTTAAAGAGAGTTTTAAATTTGTTTACATTACAACGGCGGCTCGATGTGCCAAGATTTTAAAAGTTTGTTTACGAAAATTCATTTTTTTTTTTTTAATTCGGATTAGCTTTTATTTTTAAGTCATTGTCTTTTAAGTTCAAAGTTTGGAAAATTTTATTTACAGAAATTTAGAAATATATATATATATATAGAGAGAGAAGACATCTTTTCAATAACTTCAGTAGTAAAATATTTATGATGTTTGTATAATATACGTCTGATGGCAAAACAGACGATAATTTTTATTGCCGCTCTTTTTCATGGAATTGGAAGCTGCAGACGACTCCTTTTCTATCAGAGGATTTTATCCTCAGTCGTTTAAGACGACGTTTTTTTATTCTGGCTCCGTGGTTAACCGATTTAGTTAGCCACGTAAAATGAAGTGTTACCTTTGTACTTTAATAATTCGACTTACAATATCGAATTATTTACCTTTAGTTTAGAGTTAATATTTATTTAGCTTTTAATAGCTATATTACTGGTTTTACGGATGGGGAAGAGGGGAGGGTGAGTTTTCGCATCGAAGGGCTTTGTGAGAAAATTTTATTAGCTTCGGTAGAATTCCGTAGCTAAGATTTGTTTATATTTGAAGAACTTTAAAGAAAAAAATTGTTAGCTTCGGCAGAATTCCGAAGTTAAAAGAAGTAATTTAATTCCTTAGAAGGGAAATTATTTCATTTCATTTATTTGTTTGTTGTCTCGGAGAGTCAACGTTTCTTTCTGTTTGGCGGAGTTGTTCGATGCGGGGAATTCTGCCCCTATTTACATTCTTGACTTTAAAATAAGATTTAAAATTAAAATATTTTAAAGGGATATTCTTCATGGAATAAGATTTTAAGAGCCAAGACTAGGTTAGACTTTGTGTTTTATAATTTACACTTTCAGAGGAAGTGAAAAAGAGTTTCAAAAGAAGAAAAAGAATTTTAAATTTGTTTACATTTTTCATTTTGGTATATAACGGCGGCTCGATGTGCGAAGATTTTAAAAACATTTACAAAAATTCATTTTTCTTTTAATTCGGATTAGCTTTTTTTTTTTTTTTTTTTTTTTGAAGTCATTGTCTTTTAAGTTCAAAGGCAGCATTAAAAATACGTTTTCTTGGTATGTATGGTGATACCTAAAAAAAAACCCCAAAAAACACTTATTCAAATTGTAAAGATTTTTCTAACTAACCAGGAACCCTGAAATTCTCTGTCTGGAAAACTAGCAAATATAAATTTAATCAAGTTTGAACTGTTGAGAGAGAGAGAGAGAGAGAGAGAGAAGCAGGGTTGATTACAAATAGTTATGAAAAAAAAAAAAAAAAACAAACAAAAAAAAAAAACAGCATTTCTTTTTTCACTAAAATTATCTTCATTCTTCAACTTTAATTTTATTTTTATGTTGAAGACTAACAAAAAGAGGAAATCAACCGTAAAAACCTAAGATTGAAATTCCGGTTCTGGATTACATATCCAAGTTATACTGGTGTAGAAACGGAATAAAGTTCCAATAACCAAAAAAAAAAAAAATACACAGAGTAGAGCAACTGCAAATATTATATATATATATATATATATATATATATATATATATATATATATAATACATGTCTGTCCACTAATCTCGTTATTGTTTGTTTTAAATACATACCTTGGATTAAGTATCTCTGTTTGAAGGTTTTGTTGCCGAACTTGGCGAAATTAAAGTGGTCTACATACTGGTCAATATACCCGGCAGTGTAAGGCACAGACTGTTCACCTTGTGTAACAGGAATTTCTCGTAGCAAACAAACACATAGCAATAAAATTACGAATTGCCCTGAAGAAAACCAAGGCACCTGAAATTTGTTCTTGTTGTATCCTGTCAATTCACTGCACGCCATCTCGACCAAGACTGAATTATGTGACTTGTAAGTCACGTGATTACAATAGCACGTGACGCGGGCGGCGATTTAAAATGGTATAATTTTTTTTTTTTTTAATAAAACCAATGAGAAAGAAAAAATAACAAAAATATTGGAATTGTGTAAGAATTAATGTAGAAGCTATTTTAATAAAAAAAAAAGTTAATATTGAATTGCAAAAAAGTAATTAAGAAAATTAGAATGTTATCTCTCGAAAATAAAAGATGTTTTTTTTCGAAATGAAAGAAAAAAATCATTACCCCCTGTTTTGTTTGCCAAAAATCATGGAATTATATCCGATTCGAACGAAATTTTCAGTACTTATCTTTTAATGAATGAATATTTTTTTAAAAAAAAGTCAATAAAATTTATTGAATAGTTTTTTATTCACCCCACTTTCGGTATCTCGTATATACTTTTTAGGTTGTTCGTTCAATTCAATTCTCTCTACACTTTTTTAGTTTTATAAAAAAAAATCCTTGAAGATATTATTTCAGTAGGTGTGAACATACGGGAAATTCGGCCAGCATCTTACCAAGATAATTCAATAAAACTCGGAAAAATATATATTTTTTAATTCATGTTTTCATAATAAAACACATTGTTTTCATTCACATTTTCATAATTTAATAAAACACATTGTTTTCCTTCACATTGTACAGAAAAAAAATGTGCACTTAATTATTGATTGCATGGAAAGAGGGGAAAAGACACTACTTGGTTTCAGTGAGAAAATGAAAGAAAGAACGGAGGATAGAAGTGTTTAACTAACATCTGCCAATACCTCATAAATAATATTCCATTTTGCCTGCATGTAAAAGAAGGGAAGATAGAAATGTTGAAATAGCTGTTTCAGAGAAATGGAAAAAAGTTGTCAATTTCAAATCATTTCATTTGTACCCTCTTACTTCTTAAAATAATGACCAGCAATCATATTTATGATTGTTATTGTAATATTTTATTTAAGTTGTTAAGCTCAAATATTTAACAATGTGATAGGGGAATTTCTACAGATATTTTATTTTTATAGAACTTGTTATGAGCTTATTAAATCATTAACTGAGTTGAAATTCATTAAAAAATTCAAATAGGAAAACCATGAAATTTTCACAGGTCTTTCTAGTAAATGAATAATCTTTGGTGGTCAGTACCCGTGGAATTTACACAGGTTCAACCAAAAGTAAGTAACTGGATCCAAGTAGTCTTGATAATATTGAATTAAGTGTTTTGTACTCGAAAACAACTTTGTAATGTATATTATAGACAGAAAAAAAATCACAAAGATTTTATAATATTAATTTTTTAAAAATTACTTATAATTTTTCAGTGCAATTTTAAAAGTCATTGTGCTGTTGTATGTCACAAGTTTCTTTTATAAAACAAAGAGATGTTTGAAGAATTGAAAAATGTAAACTTTAATGACATTTTCAAGTGTGAACCTTTTTAAAAATTATTTTATTTTTTTCCTTTTAGCAACAGTTAGATAATTTTTGTATGGATGTACAGAAGGGAAGTAATTCCGATTTTTCACCTTTCACCAATCTACTAAGTTTCATAAAAGCATATAGAATAAAAAATTATATTCTTAAATTAATGATTGATATAGGATTATAATAATTTTATGGAAAGAATAAAAATGAAGGCACCACTTGGATGCAAGTGAATAATCAAGTGAACACAATCAATTACCATTATCAATTTAATAACCCTATACCAATTTTGCTCATTTTTTTTGTTAGTAGCAATTCTGTTATTTTAATACATTTTCTTAAATTCAGAATTATTTTAAAAAATCACATTGGATGCAATTATATATTTTATGGCATTGTAGGGGAATTATAACTCTGAGTAAATAATTATAAACCTCCTAACATTTATACATACAAAAATGAGAAGCAGCAAAATATGAAAACAGCAAAATGAGTATTATTTATTATCTGATTGTTATGTGGTGTTGGAGAGACTAGAGTAAGTAATACTGAGTAAATTGTGAGTTTGGGATCAAATATAATTCAAATATCGATTGGAATCTGACAGAAGGATAAGATAAAAAATAAGCAAAGTGTATACAATCTTTCTTGTAAGTTATTTTTTTTTATATAGACACATGTAAGGACTGTTCAGATAATTTAGTTGGAAAATATAAGAAGTGTCTGGAATTTTCTTACCTCAAATTTTTGTTGAGTGCTAAAAGATAAATGTTATTAAGGCCTGAAAAAAGAAATAAAATTTTTGTTGATGCATGTGTTAATGACCTGTCCATGTGAATTGCTTGTCCAATAGTGAAAATGTCACATGTTTGTGTGTGTAGAGGAGAAAGTGGGGTTGATTCTCATTCATTTAGAATGAGTGAATTAATCTTAATTATAATTGTTATAATTATTTTAGTATAATTATTTTTTGACACTATAATGAATTTTTATTTAATTTTTTATGAACACAACAGCATGAAATATGTAAGAATCAAAGCAATGAATTAAACTCAAAAGAATCATTTTTACTAAAAGAAAAAACAACTAACCTATAAAAAATAAAATTGTTCATTCTACTAAGTTTAATAAAAGCATATAGAATAAAAAAATGATATTCCTAAACTATTGTTTATATAAGGCTAAAAATAATTTATTTTTAAACATAAATACCAATTTGTTGATAAATAAAATACTCTATAAAACCATATCTTAAAACTTATATCAAGAAGTCTTTCTTGACTGAAGTCAATAACCAGGACAAAGGGTTCTCTTGATAGAACCTTCAAGTTCAAGGACATTGGTTGTAGTTTGACATGGAGAAAGATGGGCTCTGACAAGTCTACTTTGCCTAAGGCACACTATGGAATTTAAAGGTTGCATGGTGTATTTTTGGGCGTCTGCATGTTCATATATAAACAAAGAAAAAGCATACAAAACTTGGGTTTCTACTATGTACTGTTTATTCTCTTTTTTTATATAAACTGTAGAGAAACAAATTTCTCAATGTCTCTTGGGTATGTCTGCTTTCTTTTTTCAGCCAAGAAGTTAGGCTAAGTAAAGATAAGCATCATTATAACAGTTGAGCTTAATCAGCCTTGTGTACAGTTGGAACAACAAAATAAAATTTTGTACTTACTTCATTATTGGAGGGTTTAAGCATGGTTATAATGGTCTAGTTCAAGTCGGCCTTGCGCTGAGTTGGAACAACCAAAGAAAAGGTTGCTTTACTTCATAGGTGGAGGTTTTGGAAGACACCTGCAAATGCCATGTGTTGGAAAGTGGAAAGAGAATTCAGTCATCAATGGAGCAGGAAAACGAACATGCATCAGCGGGTACATCTTTTTCCACATCCTGATACATCTTGGAGCAAGAGGAAGAAAGAGAAGAACTTCTTTGTTATTTATAGATTTAAACAGTGCCGCCTAATGGACATATGACAAAACTAAATGGGTTAATAAAACTTTAGGTTCCATTATTACTATCATCATGAGAAAATGTATCTATTTATTTATTTTTTTATTCATTATTACTTTATTGACTGATTTTATTTAATTTTTCCAAATACTACTCATAAATGGATATCTACCAAGATATATGGAGGGAGATGAGGACATCTCAACATAGTGTAATGGTTAACAAGCTTGTCTTGCTAGAACAATTATGACAGTAAATTTTGATCCTTACTGGGTGTCCCATACTTTTAGTCTTGTGCCATATCTAAGCTACATTTAGAAAATCATCATATAGAAGGAAAGCTCAAGTGCTCAGCTGAGTGGTAGCTCTACAACTACACTTAGTGATAGGGCTGATGAAGAAGTAGTTTGGTGCAGGGACTCAAATTTAAAATAGAAAATTCTATTCTGAACATTTTTTAAGTGTAGCTGTTATGGAAAATATGTTACTCAAGTATGAAACAAACAAACAAATAATAAATAAAAAGAAAATTTTAGTATACAAAAAAGAATATTGGAATAAATGATCAGCATTAAATAGAGAATATCTCTCACTATTAGACATGTGGTTAATCTGACTAATTGAAAAGAAACAGTTCATTTTAACAGAGGTTTTGTAGGGTGAATATGGCAAGAAGATTCCTGCCAAAGATTTTAATTTTTCCTGAAATTCTAGTCAGAAAGGCATACATGGTACGTTACTATATCTTTATTATGTTTATCTGTAGTTTATAGTGGGTCAGCCAATTTGTATTGGTTATAAATAGAAATAAAAACTGACCCTCTATAATTTTTACAATATCAAATGTAACAAAAACAACAACAACAAGAGAAATAATCAAGTAGAAGAAATTGTGAATTTGTTCAACAATAAATATTTTTTATAAACACAACAAATACATGATATATAGTGCAAAAGTTGATAAACACAATAGAGTTCTTTGGTGCGTGTTACTGAAAGAATTTGAGTTACTGTACTGTACGTGTGAAAATGAAAAGGTGTAGTTCGCTATATTTGTTTTTATAGGAAAATTAAACAGTTGTTTTTGTTTTTGTATTAAACAGAAAAAAGTATTGTTCTTGACTCACTGATTGTTATAGAGTTATCGCTCATTAAACCAGAGATTCTTCTTGTGGAATAGAATATTTTGTGGGAGTGAGCGTTAAGCCTGGAAATGGTTGACAAGGTTTGTTGTATTGAAGATAAAGTTCATCTCCTTTGCTGTGTTGATTTCCAATGAAGTCAAGTGAATTGGTTCAATATTTTACGTGCCCACTGGCTAAGTCACATCGAAGTTTCGTTTTTATTAGTTCTCTTGGTCACCTGGGGAGGCTCGTGAACATGTTTACATTTTATGGTGTCAACTAGAGGTCAAAATTTGGGTCAGTACCTTCGGATGTAGTTGACAACACCTAATTAATATTTTACAACCAATCAAAATACATCAGTTGTTATATGTGGTTGGGACCCTCTATGTGTTTAACTTGCACAAAATTTAAGATTTTAAAAAAATGTAGGAATCTGATTCTACAAGTTTAATGCAATTAAGTATTA